AAGATACAGACAAGGGTTCAGAAGAAGACAACAAGGATTCAGGGACTGGAAACAAAGCCCTAAGAGGAGAGATTGAAAGAATTGGGTATGTTCAGCCTCAAGAAAAGAAGACCGAGGGGAGATATGACGGCATTCTACAAGTACTTGAAAGGCTGTCACGAAGACAAAATCTCTTCTCGATCATTCCAGCATGCAGCACATAATAATGGACTCAAGTTTCAGGAAACCAAATTCCAACTAGATACCAGGAAAACTTTCCTGCCCGTTAGAGAAATATGACAATGGAACCAACTACATAGAGAGGTTGTGGGCTCTCCCACACAAGTCACATTCAAGATGCAACTTGAGAAAGGTGGTACAATTTGGTGTCCTGCACTAGCAGGGGTTAGATCCAATGGCCTTCTTGAGCCCTTCCAACTCTACTGTTCTATGAGTATTTATTTTACTTATGCATGTTTCTATACCACCCAATAACTGAAGCCTTCTGGACAGTTTGCAACACTTCAAACCATAAAATACTGCAACATAGTAAAACATAGTGTAAAACCTTTAAAACGTTGAATTGTATAAAACCATAGTAAAACCTAGTAGTGGGGGGAATATCTAAAATATAACAGTAGATTTAATGTAATAAGACTGAAGAAGTTAAGAGAATTTTTTAAAGTCCTCACCTGGAATTAAAAAAAAAAAATCAGGCAGACATCTCTGAAGAAGGCATTCCAAAAACAGGTTGCCATATGTGAGAAGCCTTCTCTTTTGTAGCCTCCCTCCTCACTACATTTGGTGGAGGGACCTGGAGGTAGGCATCTGAGGACAACTTTAGGGTCTACACAGATTCCTACCATGTTTGTTTAATTATGCTTATTTTATTGTATTTCTTTGTTGTTCAGCATATTGTATGGTTGTTTTTAAACCATACCTTTGCTACCCATATCAGGTATCTTATCAGGAGGAGAAAAAGCAAAGCCTTTCAGTGGCAGAAGTGAACTGCACATTTCAAAGTTCCTATTTTCACTTAACAGGGGTGAATAAGTGCCATATAGGTGTGTCCTGTCATATCACAGATCCGTGCATAAGAGGTTACCAGTTTTGGGGGGGACTGACTACTCAGATTCTGATAATGAGATTGTCTTTGGAAAGCTCCCAGCCTCAGCTTGACTCAAGGTCTTGAGACTCCTCAGGGTTTATCTATGGGAATGATTAGACCAAGGGCAGATGATGGGCCCAATCAACTGGCTGTGGGAAAGGGAAGGAGCTGCAGCACCCTGAGGGAGAAGACTTGAAATGGGTAGTGTTTCCAGTGGGGACCTCGCACTCCCTGATGAGGTAGACCCAACTGCTAGGTGGGCCTATTGGATTGAATTAGGGATACAGCAGGAAGAGCAAAGGCATGCCTGGTTCCACAGCACTCCTCTCCCCAGAGACAAATGGAGAAGGGTTCATAAATAACGTTTTGGGTAAAGAATGTCAGAAAGGGTTCAACATTTTGCTCAGTGTATGCTCAGAAACTTGAATGTAACAATAAAGACTTTTAGCAAAGGGACTCTGGCAAGACTGACATTGCTTGGAGAGAGAAGCATGACTCGTGACAGAAAGAGTATGAATAACTCTGGAACAGAACTTGACAGTGAATTGCATAACCCAGTTATATACTTGGCTAGCAAAAGGTTCCTGCCACTGTAGCAATGTGACTTGGACCTGCTGTGTGTTTTTTGCCAAAATAATTAAACATCCTTTTGGGTCAGGAGCTGGCAAGCTGTAGCATGGGCACGTGTGGTTTCTATAATATTTCAAATCAATTTCCATAATTCTGAAAATATTTCCAACAGATTCATAGCCAGTTCTTTTTTGTTATTCTGGCTCTTAAAATGAGTGGGATGAAATAAACCACAGTGAACAATGAAGGAGTTCTGTATATGGAAAACTTTGCTTTCATCCAAATCTTGACTCATACTTGAAATGCCAATTCAAAGGGAGGAGTTGCTGGGCATTCTGAAAACTGCACTGTGACACTAAAAACAACAGCAGGACTTTTCCAGTGGATTATTCTGTCACAAAGAAAGGTGTTATTAGGAGAGAGAGTGCACTTTATCAAAAAGGTATCCAGTGTGCAATATTATTTGTTTTATGAGCCAGTTATATTAATGTTAGACCATGTAGAAATTATGCATGGCTTTCTTAATTATTTTAATTTTTACATACAGTCCACTCTGTACATTTTTAGTCAAATTTAAACATTTTCTAGCAGTAAATGTACAATTGCTCCCAACTTAAAACAAAAAACAAGGAAATCTCAAGAAAGTACAACAAGTAATAGCCCCATGAAAATTCAACTACTTTATTGCTGTACTGCTTTCTTAGTGAACTTTCCTTATTGATTTCTTATTGGGCAGATTAAATTTTTAATATAAATAAATAATTCTGATTCTCCCTCACACCCAGAGTTAACCTCTGGGGAAACAAGGCCACATTCTCTCTATCTCCTATGTCTACCTTCTCTGCTTCTCTTCACCAACAGCCACACTTGCCTCTAGGGCTGTCAGACAATATCCAATGTGACATCATCCCCAGTGTAAATTATGCTGTACTAGAATCTCTAGCACAATGCCAATAGCATGTACTAGATCAATAACAATGTTACACCAGGTAGCCTCTATCCTACTATCACTGTAAGTACAGTTTTCCTAGCTTCTTTCCTCAACTGCTGAGCCGTTAGGGTGGACTCATTTCAGTCTGATGTCATAGCATTTATTTTTTAATTAATTTATTAGTTCTCTATCCTACCTTTTCTTACAAAATCAAAGAAGCTTATATCAGTCTCCTGCTCCTCCTCTCAATCTTATCCCCACAGCAAGAACCCTGGGAGGTAGGTTGGGCTGAGAGTCTGTGACTAGCCAAAGTCACCTAGTTGGCTCCATGCCCCAGCAGGGATTAGTCCCCAGGTCTCCTAAGTCCCATTTCTATGCTGTTAACCACTACACCACACTGGCTGTCTTACAGCTCCTACCTAAGGAGGTTTCAAACAGTGCAACCAATCTTCGATACTTCTTGTTCTGCAGCTCAAATTGGGAAATGCATGAAAATATAAACATTCTGTGTTTCACGAGTGTAAAAGACCCTTACAGATTACCTAAGACTGGCTTTAGACTTGTCTATATGACAAGAGAGGTCTTGCAATAAATTTCACCATGGAAAGTGACAAAGGATGTGGGGATTTTCTTTCCTATTTTTTGTCCTTCTTTTGCTTTAATGTCCACACATTCTAATTCATATACCCTTGCACCATTTCCTTCTTCTTAGCCTACATGCACCTTTTTGCACAAATGAATATGCATAAATCTCATGGTTATTTCTTTTAAACAAAGGCATACTCTGTATAGTTGCAATTTCATGGCTAGTGCTAGAAGGCCAAGTTCAGCTTCTGGGGACTCTCGCAGCTTGAAGGAAGTGTACAGCAGATTTTCTCAGGGCATCTCAATATGGGGGAGCAATCTAACACCCAGGTTATTTTCCTATACAAAACCAGAAAGTATCTACTTGTGCTTATTGTTCTGCCTTATTGACAAATGTACCTTCTTAGTTGCTCACGTTGAGAAATAGTTCACAAATTGCTATATAATAATAATGTGGTATCTGAACAATAACTGTGAACACAATGCAGGCAATAATAATTGTAGGGCTGTCAAAACTGTTTATCTTGCACATATGAATGTGCCTCTTCCTACAATCATTGTTTTGCTTGCATAAGCAAGTGGAAGTCTTGCCCAAATATGGAAGGTAAGAAGGAATACAACCTCTGGCAAAACAAATGTAAGTTGACAGAATGAAAAATGGAAAACAAATATATATTTATTACAGCACTCATACAAGCCCTTTAACTAAATAGGCTCCCTGTGCAGCTTGGAGAGACAACATATAACAATTCTTCCTCTCAAGCCTACAATCTAAATCTAAGCCATGACACACTAGGGATAAGGGGGTGGGGAGAGAGATTATATAATTAAGACCATTTCTTAAATAATCAGAAACTGGAAGCCAATAAAGAAGGTGGTCTCATCCCAGGCTAAAAAACAGTGAAGAACTGCTAAGGAAGATCAGGAAAACTGCAGAAAGACTGAATAAATTTGCATCAATTAGGTTTTCACTGAGAGTAATATTTGGTAGACCTCTTTTCCTGGACCTTTTAAATTGAATTTTGTTGGGAAATGTATTGGAAAAACTAAATTAAGTTTCAGGCCTAAGTCTCCTGAATCTGGATGAGATACACTTCAAGTTTTTAAACTTACTTAGAATGTAACTAATAAAAGATCCTTTCAAAAGGGGGGGGGGATAGGATTCACACGTAAGCCAGGTTGCATTGAAAATTATGTTAATTCGTTCATTCTAGAATCAGCAGAAAGAACAGAGGTAACCAAGGTTGCAAATGACACCAAATATTCCAGGATGGCAAACCCAAATATACTGAAGACCTTTGAAAGGATCTATCCTATATAATTGAATTAACCACAAAATGTCAAATAAAGCTCAATGGAAGAAGCATCGTGTTATGCACACCGACACACTAAACACAATCCACAATTCAGTACATATGAATTAGAGAAAAAGGCCTTGATATTGCATTGGAAAAGGACGACAGACATCATACTACTGGTTACTAAAAAGGCCGCTGAAAATAAATCTGCTAGAGCCCCAGTGCTCTTATTTATGGCATAAGCACATTTGGAACACTATATAATATGCGGATTGGGACCATGGAGGATTAAGAAAGCTTTAACTTTTAGCCTAGACTCCACTGGCCCTCTATTTTCAGCCAGAAGAAAGCTCACACTGGTGCTAAGAGAGAAGCACCGAACTTTTTTTCTTTTATGGGAACAGAGACGCTTGCCACTACTTTAGCTTTAGAAAATCCCTTGCAAGTTTACAAAAACAAAATAGAAACTGGAAAAGAAAGTGCTTCCACGGTGCGGACAGAGAGACCCACCGAACATAATGGGACTTACTTCCAATCAGACACGGAAGTAGGAAGACACGGTCAGGGTCTGGCTGGGCCAGAGCCACATGCACGTCTCAGCCAGCCCGCTTGTTGAGTTTCCTCCGTCCCCTACGGATTGTGAGACGGAATCCTGGGAGAAAGCCACGTCTTGCCAAGCCAGCCACGGCCTAACTTCTCATCGCCCGCCCGGGAGATCGCCAGCGTTAAGGGGGAAACTGGGGCTGCCCCCGCCCGCTCAAGGCTCGCGCGCGAAGGGTCACAGGGACTTCGCGCGACCAGCGATCACGTGCCCTTTCTTCCGAACACGCTGCCGGCTGGATTCCTGCCGCCGCTGGCGGCACGCGAGGGGATCACGTGACTTTTCGTTCGGGGAGGAGGGGGGATTCCTTGACGCGCGCTGGTAAACAGACAACATGGCGGCGACAGTGGCAGTGGCAAGGGCGCCTTTCGGCTTCCTCCAACGTCGAGGAGGTTTGGCTGCTGCCACCCTCTCTGTTTCTTCTTCCTCTTCGTCCTCCCTGGGCCTCTTGAGCCTGAGGGGTTTAGCACACGGGCGCTGCTCGGCCCTGCCCTCTGCCGCGAGAGGTTACAGTTCTGAGGCGAAAGGAGGGGAAGAGGAGCTGCGGGTCCGATATTTGGACGATGAACACAAAGGTAACGGCAGTAGCCCCGAAGTAGAGGGGGCCTCGTTTACCTCCGGGCAGTCGGTTTCCACATAAATGGTGACGCACTGATTGCGCACTGGTCCTTTAAATCTCTCCGTTTAGCGCGGTTAATCTTCCTTGTCGCCGCTGCTCATGCGCAGTCTCCTTTCCGCCGAGGAGTCCCAGTAGACGTTGGATTTTGTGTTGAATTCATTCTTCTGTTTTACACACAGTTTCCCCTTGCCAGGAGAGTTGCTAGTAACACGGGGAGGGGAATAGATGTATATTTAGGATTCCTGATATACCATGTCTGGAAGTACTGTCTCTTATTTGATGATAATAGGACCTAATTTTTCATAGTGCCTATTTCAGCTTATCACCATTATAGTTTAGACTATGAGAATATAATGATTGTCCCTATTTCAAACATCAGGTGTGAAATACTTTTACAAAGGCTTACAAGGGCTAGCCAGCCGTTCTGTATGTACATGAATAGAATTGTGCTCTAAAGTTGGAATCTTGTGCACACTTCATTGGAATAAGCCACCTCCCTTGGTTTGCTTAGGCTTGTGCTTAATATCTCAATAGCTTTGCTTATATTTTTAAAATACGATCTGGCAACTCTTTATAATATATATGTGAGACTCCTAGCCCAACATAATAGTGATGTTTTTCATTTGATCCATATTTTGAAGTGAACTAATCTGATATGTGTTTTAGGACTAATGTGCAGAATGCAGTTAACTTTTGGATTCAAGTTTCTTAAAAGTCCAGGTTTTTGCTCAAAAATCTATCAAAATATGCATTAAAATAGTCGTGCAGATTTTAGAGTAAAATACAGTTAGAAGCCCATACTTTGACATAAAATATAGTTAGAAATGCCTATTGTTTAAGAAACTGTGGGTTAAAGTATTTAGATACCATGCTATGCATGCTAGATGCTGTTTCATCAATCATGGGAAAATTTGGTGCACCAACTTTGACCATGAAAAAGCATTCCATGGTCAGAGTTAACTGAGGTTCTTGCAGCTAGTGGGGTTCTTTCTCTCAAAAGTCACAAGTGAGCTTTTGGGGCCAGCATGGGAGCAAGGAGAGGAGAAATAGAGGTCCGCAGTGATATGAAAATCTGTGAGCAGTGGAAAAACATTTAGATGGCTGAAATCAACCATCAAAGAATTTGGGAGGGTAAGATAAGATGGAGGCATTCCTTGCCTCCACACTTCGCCTGTTGTCCATTGCATGCATGCAGTCCCAGTTTGTAGGATTACAGCTAGCCATGTTGGATGGAACTTTTATTTAAATGCAAATACAGTTGTGTGTTTTAAAAAAGTTCCAGTATAGCAGAGGGATAGGACAGAATGAACTTATGAATGAACATGTACAAAACTCATACAGGCCATTAATATCCTAATCTGTAGATTCTTATCCATAGCCAGTACAGTACATTGTTGATCTAGCACCAGGGAGATCTGGGTTCAGATCCTGACCAGTCATGAAATTCATTATGAGATTTTGAGTCCATAATATGATCTTCCTCCCAGAATGTCAAGTATGCTACCTTGAGGTTCTTGAAAGAAAAGGAAAACATTTAATAATGATTTAAGGGTGCAAGGTTCACAGTTCTTTAGTGCTACTACTCTAGCTCACCACAACATGATTTTAGTTCACCCCATCTGGTATCATTTTCACTCTTCTTCCATTTGGATATTGTTATTGTTCTGGGGATCAGATTGAGTCAGTTTTGAACTCTGGGCTTATGCCATAATTAAGAAGTCCTGTTTTCCTCTGTTCCTTAAAGACCAGACTAGACCTTGTGTGAGAGAGCTGTCTTGTGATTGGATCTCCTGATATATCTTTCTTTGTATAAAAGCAAGTGAGGGGATTTGATTGGAGATTCAGCAAATTATTTCCCTCTCCTCCTAACAGCTGCAAAGTGAAACACACACATTTCATTTCACTATTATATTTCTATATCACCCAATAGTCAAAGATCTTTGGGCAGTTTTGAAAACTCAAAATCCTCACAAATACACATCTTTTATAGAGATTATAATAAATGTATAAAACTATTTGCATTCAAAGAAACAACATACATACACACACATATATATATATATAAACAATTTTAACAAAAATGCAGGACCTAAATTAAAAACCTGATCATATGTTTCCATACTCATGAGAAAAGAGAAACTTTTTAAACTGGAGCTGAAAAGATAACAGTGGTATTCCATACATGGAGGTGGGCTGGGAGATACCTACAAAAATGTCCTTCCCTTGTGACCCTCCCTTGGTGAAGGAGCTGAAGGAGGACCTTGGATGAGGAGCATAATAAACAGAGTGATGCTGTATCATATACTGCAGTCTGAAGGTCATATAAGGCTTTTATAGGTCAATACTAGCTCCTTGAATTGGATCGAGAAACATACTGTGCAATTGTACCAGAATGAGTGTTAAAATGCTCAAACCTGCTTGTCCTGTTAACAGTCTGACTGCAGTATTTTGCACAAGCTGAAACTTCTCAATTGTCTTCAAAGGGAAACCCACATAGAGTACATTGCTGTAATCCAACTTTGAGGTTACTAGAGTATGGACAACCAAAGCCAGTTTATCTCTGACCAGATATACTTCTTGCTCAGCCAGCAACCACAGTTGCTGGAAAGCCCTCTGTGCCACTGAGGCACAGTATCTCAAGTGATATACTGTGCCAGCAGAACTCCCATGCTACAAATATGGGGTGCAACACTGTTCAAAACAGAATGAGCACCCTCTGCAGGGACACTACTAGTTGAATTATTAGTTGGAACTTTGTTTTCTCTTCTGTGAGACGATTGCTCTGCACTAAAAACTGCTATATGCATAAAAGGGCAATAGCAGTATGCATATGTAAGTGACATTTTATAAAGCCCCTCGAAGTAGTGAAGTTTTTAAAATCCTTTAGCAAAACACTCTAGGGTTGGTAAGAAGATTTCAGTGAACTCATATGTGGCTGAATAGAATCTTGATGCATTTTTTAATTTCTTAGCCTGCTCTTAGCAGTATGTGTGTGTATCAAAGACTGTTAATCCAAAAAAGGATGGGGGTAGAAGAGAGAAAGGAAAAACTACAGGAGTAGAATCCTATCTTCCAACTTTACTCACCTACTCAGTTCAATTGAGGAGTTTGCTTTCCATTTCATCTGTTAAGCAGATCAGGTGTCTTTCATTAGGCAAGTTGCTTGACATTACAATACTTACATATATTTTTAAAATATGGACAGTTGGAGCCAGTGTGTAGCATTTAGGATTTGTTTAACTGTAGCAATTCTACAATAGTCTCTAAAATTATATCCCATGTGACTTTGTCATAATAGTTTCTAAATAACCAAAAAGAATCATTAGTATATGAGAGGTATGTGTTTAAGTCCTTTATGAACTAATTTTCAATTATTACATATTCTCCGTTTAGTTGATTGCAAGGTGTTTACTAACTAGCTCAAACAACCAGTCCAGACATGATACATTGGTGAGGCCATATAATTTCATGTATTCTAGCTGCACCTTTCTCTTCCCACTGGAATGCCCCCTTTTCTTTCATTTTGAGGCTGTATTTTCAGCCTCATGTAGCAGCCAGCACAGTTCTTTCTATGAAACTGTGAGGAGTCAGAGGATAGGGATCAGAATCATAGAATAATAGAGTTGGAAGAGGCTGTGAAGGCCATTGAGCCCAACCCCCTGCTGTTGCAGGACACAATGTTACACCATCTCACTCAGATGGCAGTCCAGTTTTTTTTTGAATGTCTCTAATATGGGAGAGCCCACCACCTCTATAGGCAGCTGGTTCCACTATTGTATTGTTCTGACAGTGAGGAAGCTTTTCCTGACGTCCAACCTGAATCTGGGTGTTGCAACTTGATTATTCCATGTCCTACACTCTGGCATTAGCAAGAAGAAATCTTGACCTTCCTCTTTGTGACAGCCTTTGCGGTATTTATAAAGGGATATCATGTGTCCCTTCAATCTTCTCTTCTTAAGACTGAACTGCCCAGTTCTTTCAGTCTCTCCTCATATGGCAGTGTTTCCCTATGGATCATTTTTGTTGCCCTCCACTGGACCAAAAGCCAGAAGTCCCCATCACATGGTTGAAACAGTTACAACTGCAGGAGGGGGAATGAGAATAATCCTATGATCTTCAAGATACTCTCCTAGGGAGTATCTAATTTATTTTGTTATATTTATGTCTCATTTTTTTCTGACAAGGAGCTCAAGGTGGCTTTCATAAACCTACTCCTTTCCATTTTATCCTTATGACAGCTCACTGAGGTAGGTTAGACTGAGGATCAATGACTGGCTCAAAGTCATCCTGTGAACTACATGGCCAAGTGGGTTCTAGAACCTGGATCTCTTGTGTCCCAGTCTGACACTCTAACCAGTACAACGCATTGGCTATCCCCACCTTCTCAAATAAACAACTAATTTCTTGTTATTTTTACTCCTATTTATAGGAATTGTTGTACTTGGAATAAATAGAGCACATGCAAAAAATGCACTTAACAAAAATCTTGTAAAAATGGTAAGTGGATAAATCTTCAAGCTTCTCTTAATGTGAAATACTGTAAATACGTGTTGATAACTTGCATGCCTTTTCTCTATAGATGTCAAAAGTTATGGAAGCTTTGAAAACTGACAAAAAAGTACGGACTGTTATATTCCGAAGTGAAGTTCCAGGCGTATTTTGTGCTGGTATGCAAATTTAACTTTTACTATGCATTTGGATATCATGCTTTATCAAACTTACTTGCATATAAAAAGCCAAAGCGTATTTCGCCAAATAAAGATAATTAACTTTTGTGGTTAAGAAGCATTTGTTATACCTTTTAAAAAAGATAACCTGCTATAAGGCAGGTACAGAAAATAGAGCAGAGTTCCTGAACAAATCTGTCCATATGTTCTCTCTCTCTGTGTTACATTTTTGTCATATAAACAAAAATAAGTTTGGCAACATGTTTCAAGGGAATCTATGACTTGGTCTCCAATGGTTCTAATCTAAGCTACTCAGTCTTTTTATTGGTAATACTAAATATTATACACCTTCCTTTCTGCTTTCAAGATAAGATGAATGGGAGGTGGAGGGGCTGAAAAAAACACAGTCAGTTAGACACTGATATTACTGAGCAAGTTTGGAAGCTGCCGTTTATTTGCACAGTGTGCAACACAGACTTTCCTTGCAGTCTTCATTGCTTAAGTGCACAAAGAATATGAAAGAGTTGTACTCTGCCATCTTTGTGGCAAAGGGATTATAAACAATTCAAGATCACTCTGAAGAAGGGTGTGAGAGAGTGGTTGCTTATCAGTTCCGTGGGATCTTTTCTGTGAGATCTTACAGCATTCATTCTGTCCCTTTTTCAATAGGGCTGTAAGGCAAGATCATGTAACATTTCGGGGGCAGTTATTTCAAGAACTAGGATACAGTTTTTTCACTTTTCATCCAGTGAAAATCCTCCCATCACAGGACATACTCACTTTTAGAACATATGAGGGGACTAAGTTTGGACTAATTAACTGAAGGCTAATCTATTTATTTATTTAAAACAGTTTTATGCCACCCCCATCGCAACGAAGCCTTGGGGCGGCTCACAACAGAAACAAATATATAAATACATAAATAATAACAATATAACAATAAAAAATTATTTAAAAACCCCCGGTGCATCTCAGCTAAAAATTTAAAATCCTATAAGTACAAATAATTTAACAATTAAAATAAGTTTTAAATAAAAAGGTTTTAGCCTGGTGCCGAAAAGCAAATAACGACGGCGCCAGGCGGACCTCTCTGGGGATCTGGTCAATTTGATCTAGATTGATGAAGATTGATCTAGTCAATCCTTAAATGATAATGTTTGACAAGATATAAAGTAGACTGTTGCATGGGTTAAGAGGGCATATGGAGTAGATTTGCTATGCTATGAGTGGGTAAGTTATTCTATTATAGTTTTAATTTGGTTTCTAAGATATTACCCATCCCAGACATCTGATGTGGGTATGAGGCATTATTGAAAATCTATAAAGCCACTTTTTATTTAAGCTGTGACACATGGTTTTATTTTTATTATTATTGTTTTTACTTGTTAAACATTCTTTTTATGTTTTCTGGCAAAAGAAAAGCATACTTAGTACATCATTAGATTTTTGTCATCTTTAGTTTTTAATATATGGCTTAGCTATTTCTGTAATATGAGTGGGATGATTATATGAAAGGCTTGAGTCATATTTAATTATGTATACACGTGCATTTGGTCTATAAAGCATAACACTTTCCCCCCTTTATGTAGACAAGTGGTTTGTTTTTAGACTAGGTAAAAAGACTTAAATAGCTAGCTTTAATTTTTGTAGTGAGAGGCGTTTCCTCCACACATTCATTGTAGATATACAAGTCTGTAACAACTGCTATGGAGTACTCTTCCTGAAGGGAAACTTGAAGCAAAAATTGTTCATTTATCAAATATATTGTGCAGCTTTGACATAGGCAATTTCATACATTCTTTAGGAAGGACTTTCTCATTCCTAAAGAATGTATTTTCTTCAGAAATACACTCTTTTTCATTATTCCTTTTTCTGTGAGTATATAGCTATGTTTAGCACTATACTGAATTAACAAATCTTGTTCATATGAGCAGCTTTACCTACTTTACCTGTTTGGTAATTATCTTGACTCATTCCCTGATGACACCTTGCTCCTCCCCCTTGCATGCACTTCTAAACACAGATAAATGTGAACTGCTCTGCTTGGCTATTTTCTTTAAATCTGTCTCTTCTTAGGGCAGATAGTATATTAGTTTTGAGATCTCAGCAAAATGTTTTGTCAATAGCAAAGAGTAAAAAGAGGAGAGGAGAGGATTTTTAATTGCTGTAGTTTCTGGGCACTTTGTGGAATTGATACTGTTTTAGAATGTAAGCTTTCATTCCATATAATGATCACTGTGTTCAAGCATTGAAAGATTTATTTATTTGCTTAGGCCTTCTCCATATGATTTATCCTCTACCCCTTTTTCTTGGTCCAGTGTCAACAACATTCCTGATCTCCTTGATTGCAAACACTGATTTGAAGCTAAGCATGGTTAGTGTTAACATCAGTGCAGGTTTAACACTGCACTATGGTTACCTACAAAAAGGGAAGGGTGGAGTGAATTTGTGTGGGTGAAATGGGAAAAGAAAATAGTGCATGAAACAGGATGCTCTCAATATCCTAACCATGTTTAGGGGATTTGGGTTATTATGTCTGCACTAGGCCTTCTGCATTTCAAGTTTCTTTCATTGTCCATTTAATCTCTCTATGGGATGTATTGTACATTTCAATTGTTTAGAAAATTATTTGTATCAGTAGTTACTTACATAGTATGCATGGTTCTGTGAAACAAAAAAGATAGTCAGGAGCCTCTTGCTGGGGCTGATCACATGCTAACCCTTTGCTGTTTATGCTCAGTTTGCTTTTCACAACAATATGAATGATGTCATTAAGATTTGTATGAGCTGATACTATTATAAAATTTGTGTATGACTGTAACCAGAAAATGTCGCTTGCAGGTGCGGACCTAAAAGAAAGAGCCAAAATGCACTCGAGTGAAGTAAGCTCTTTTGTTTCAAAAGCAAGAACAACAATTAATGAAATGGGTAAGTGAAATCCCCCTGGTCATAAGCAAAATTGTACTATCAGTTGACCCTGAGTCTTTGACCAACCAAAATATCAACAGGTTTTTAAAACATTTATGTATATTTGTTTTCAAACAGGGCAGTGTTCTTACAAGATTTGTAAAGAACAATTAATTTACTTCATTAATATCCCCAATTTGTGTTTATAGAATAATTATGCATATTCATTAGGAAATACAAGTGCTTTTCTTTTGCTTATCTCCCAACTATAGAACTGATTCAGTATTCAGTGCTTCTTTGCTAGTTCTCTTTTCTAGAAGCAAGAACTTTAAAAGAGGCTTTGGTAGCATTTGTGGGACTTGGGTGGATCCCAGGTCCTTCCCCCTTTGATATATCTGTCACCCACTACTGTCCTGTAGTATTTTCTATGTCCGTGGTGCCACATGTGTTGGAAAAAAGTCTTAAATGTATTTCATTCTAAACTCCTCAGTCCCTGAACCTATCCTTCTGAAATTTTGCATGTTTCTTTACTAGTGCCACCTTTTGCTGTGTGTAATTTTCATGACGATTTCCCATAAAATTGTAGGAGCATAAAAGTTTTCTGGAAGCTTTCAAACTGAAATGGCTGTTTCTGCACAAACCTCCCTGTATGTATTCATCTGAAATTTGACACACTTGATCGTCTCAGAAAGGGCAATTATTTCTGCAACCTCTGCCCAATTCTACTAAGAACGTAACAAATTATTGATAGTTTTCTTAAAAAATAAAACAGAATCTGTACCTGTTTTTCCAGAATTTAGCAGGCATAATCTCAGAAGAGACTACTATGCTTGCAATTTTCCACTCAAGACAAAAAGGAAAAAGTGATTAAAACTATTTGGTTTTTTTCTCCATTAAAAAATTACTGGTGAGGTATGAAGATCTGAATTTCTAAATCAAGATTTGGACTCAGGTTGAAGCAGGTGGATTCCAAATTGGTCTGTTTCCCAAATTTTGTGGTCTGTTCAGACACCTTTGTCTGAGTATAAATGTATAGGATTGCATTTTTACTGGGTTCAGTGTTAGTTTTAAAAGATTGTAGAACAAAAACCATAGACCTGGGGTACTTTAAAGACCGGTAAATGTCCCCCTGGACTAGGCAACTTTGCTTGGTGATTAGAAAAGTAAGACGTACTTCATGGATAGGCTGTCTCTTTGAGATTGGATTTGTGTTCTTTTTTTAAATGCAACATATTTGTAATTGTTGTTGAAACTGCTTTGAAAGCACTTTCAAAGAATGAAGCACATAAAGTACATAGGATACCAATAGAACCATTCCTAGCTACAGTCCAAATCCTAACAAATATATGTCAACTAATATGGAAAACAAAACAATGGCCTGCAGACTGGAAAATTCAATATACATTTCAAGTCCCCAAGAAGGGAGATGCAAAAGAGTGCTGCAACCATTAATCTCCCATGCAAGCGAAGTGATGCAACAAAGAATACTACTCTATAGGGAGCAAGAAATGCTGGGCATTCAAACTGGATGCTGAAAAGGAAGAGGCACATGATATCATATTGCAAATATATGATGACTACTGGGGCTCATCAAAGAATTTCAGAAAAAAGATCAGTCTTTATAGACTAAAAACTTTGACTGTGTGGGTCATGAGAAGTTGTGGATGGTCCTGAAAGAAATGGGGGTGCCCTGGCATGTAATTGTCCTGATGTGTAACCTGTATCATGGACAAGAAGCTACAGTATGGACAGAATATGTGGAAACACCCATAGGCAAGGGTGTCAGACAAGGATGTATCTCCCTATCTGTTCAATCTGTATTCAGAACCTATCATAAGGTTAGTATGATTACAATCAGAGGAAGAAGTGAAAATTGGTGAAAGAAACATTACTAATTTAAGATATGCAGATGATAGCATTCTACTGACAGAAAACAGCACTGAGATGAAACAACTCCTGAAAAAAATTGAAAGCAAAAATCACAAAAGGAGGACTGCAGCTGGATATTAAGGAAAAAATTCATGTCTGCAGAATAATTACAGAACTTTACAGTTACTAATGAAGAAATTGAAATTGTGAAAGATTTCACATACCTTGGTTCACTCATCAATTCAGAGGGAGACTGCAACTCAGAAATTTGAAGACTTAGGCTTAGAAGGACAATAGTGAACAAACCAGAAAAAATAATCAAGCTTAAAGACATTTTACTGGAGACCAAGGACATCATCATTGAAATCATTGCATTTCCATTCAGAATGTATGGTTGTGAAAGCTGAAAGAAAGTAAAAAAAGCTGACAGGAAGAAAATTAATGTATTTGAAGCATGATGCTGGAGGACGGCTTTACAAGTATCCTAGACTGATAGAAGGACAAACAAGTGTGTCCTGGATCAAATCAAACCAAAGCTATCCCTAGAAACAACACTGGCAAAACTGAAGCTGTCACATCATAAGAAGGCAAGACTCACTGAAGAAGACAGTCAGGGAAGGTTGAAGGAAGAAGATGAAAAGAAAGACCAACAATGAGATGGATTGAATCCATAAAGGAAGCCACAGCCTTGAACTTGGAAGAACGAAGCTGCCATGGACAGGACATTTTGGAGGACTTTCATTCATAGGATCGCCATAGGTCAGAGATGACTTGACCACACATAACAGCAACAATATCCAGAGCAGCAACGGGGAACCCCAGACACTATTGCCTCACCTCCTTGATTCTCCCCCCCCCCCCCCCCCATTCACTAATGCTGCTTGGTGGCAGCTGGCAGCTGCAAGAAGACTGTGGGAGAAGAGCTGAGGCCAAGTAGAACTGACTGCCTCAGAGGCAGGGTTTAGTGTCTGGGCTCTTCTTTTCCCCAGACCTCACCAGGGCCTGAGTGGTGGCCTTAGGCAGGCACTGAAGGGCAATGTCAAAAGGCATCACCCATTTGGCACCCATTCTTTGCCTGCTTTGTGCCTGTTGGACAGGTGGTATGTGTGCACCCATGTGTGTTTTGTACTACAGCTGAGAATTGGGTAAGTGAGTTTTAGTTTTCTGCCTGGAGATGGAGGGGAGGCTTAGGGGTGCAGCCATTTGGTTGGTTATGAATAGGGAGAGATATGGTGGTGGAGGATGAACTTGCCCACCTAGGAGATGTGGGAACAGACATCTTATACCTGTCCCCTTTTCTGGTTCCCTCCCCCCGCCTCCCCAACCAAATGGCTTCTGGTAGCCATGTCAATCAGCCCTCTGGCTTGCAGATGCTACTGTTAAATGCAAGGTCAGTTCAGAATAAGTCCTCCCTCATCTATGATATGACTGTTGATAAGAAGGCCGACCTGGCTTGCATCACTAAGACGTGGGTGGGAGAGGCACGTTTGTCCCATCCTCCCAGCTCTGCCTACCTGAGTATTTGGTGTGGCACCAATGTTTCTTGGAGGATTGGGGATGGAGAGGGTGGCCATAATCTTTAAGACTACTACCTCCCTTACAGACTTCCAGTCCAATCATGTTCTGAGTTTGAGAGTTTTTACCTGGTGTTGGACTCTCACTGATTAGGGATTCTGCAGGTATACCAGCCACCTTGCTGCCCAGCAGTCTCCCTGCCTGAGTGGATGGAGGTAGTCTCAGTCCTGGTGTTGAGGACCCCCAGAAAGTTGGTTCTGGGAGACTTAAACATTCAAGGCAAAGCGGCTTTATCTGGGGTGGCTCAGGATTTCATGGCTGCCCTAACACCCCCCCCCCCAGCAGCACTTAAAACATGAGTGAGCATTAGTGGGAAGCTCTCTGGAATAACATTGCTTACACTGCCTGTCAAAAGGCAGGCAATGAGAGTGTCTAGTATATCTCCCTAGCCAAACTGTTCTATAGGCTGTGTACAAAAACTGAGAAGGCTGCATTTTTGTGTCTAATCACTGTAGCCCAGATAGGAATAAAACATTTGAGGAGGACCTCTGTGGTAGAATAAAGTTCCTGATGGCAAGTCCAGAGTTTATCTCAGTTATGAATAGCACTTTAAAAAGGCAAAGCAAGAACCTTACATTGAACTTAAAAACCAGTTGGTAACTAATGCTGACAGCAAAGGATTGCAGCTCTGTGCTTTATTCTTCTGACTCCTTGCAGAACTCTGGGCCAATTGAAATTTCCGGCCTTTAAGGACAGCCCAACATAGAGCACAGCACAGTATCCAATATAAGGGACATGAATGACCAAGGACATTTTTGAAAAGCTGGTATACCAGATGAAGTTGTTAAATGTACCTTCTTAACGGCTGCAATGGATTAACTGCAACAGAAGCAAGCAGCTAGCTTTATTGCCAAAAAGGCAAAGTATTTAAAATCATCTGATAGTTATTGAATAAAAATAAGTTATCTTCAGCAACTGGAGGTTGTTGGATTGCAAAGCAAACCAAAGCAAAAACTATTTTATACAAACATGTTCAGTTTTTCTAGTTTTGTGTCTAAAACAATTAAATCTAGATTTTTCATAAAACAGAGCCAGGTGTTTAATAAAACATTTAGTGGAAGTAAACTATGGATGCATAATTTATATCTGCGGACATACTGACCATGTGTGAAACAATCACTGAAGACAGCGATATGACAGATCCCTTTCTTGGCTTGCTGTACAAGCCCAGCACCAAGCTATGAGAGGAAAGGCTTTCCCTAGTTGCATCCAAGTGACTCCCTTTCCTTGGTCAAGAAACTAGGGCCTAGGGTACATTCTTTGTATAAATAGAAGGCTGGATGTGGTTACAGGAGATGCATGTGGCCCTCTTGCTATCCATAATAACCAGGCATATTTAGCATCCATGCATGCCTACCAAGTGAAAGGAGGGTTTCATTGGTTATTTATTATGAGGATCCATCTATGTTTGGATGTCTTGTGATCATGGTGAACTGTAGCAAGTCTCAAATATTCCAGTATGCCTACTTTGTGTCTTCTGCAAGCCAGTTATAGGATTCCTACTGTGACTGTGAAGTGTGGAGTAGCTCAAAGGCTTAAAGCACTGACTTTTCCTGCTAGAGTACCGTGGTGCTTAGAAACTGTGTCCACAAGTTGTAATGATCTAACTTTTAAATTTCGATTTTAGAATTGATTTTGGTATGCAAAGAATTGAGTTTTAAGTCATATATTCTGTAATCAATACCACTTTCACCAGAAAGATCTTTCAGACATTGTAATAAAATAACATTTTTCATGGCAAAATCCATGGAGAGATCCAGCAAAGCCATTATTTATTTCTTTAGCACTTTTATATACCATCTCGTAGCCTCACAGCTCTCTAGACAGTTTACATAATAAAAGCCAACAACATAAAACTTCATAAATAAAACAATTAAAACCACAGTATTAATAAATAATAAAATGATAATAATAAAATAATAAACATGATTATGATTATGTAATATGTTTGCATCAAATAGAGCTGAGTTGGAGCTACATTTGGTTTACCTTTCCCTCAGTAATCTAAGAACTAAAAAGCTTACATCATAAAGGTACAAACGGTTTGATCTGGTCACCAAACTACTAGACTTATGAGCAACTGGTACGGTGTTTAGGAAGTGGCAGCTCACCCATCCATATACCATTTGAGGGCCAAAAATTTTGTCATAGCTGCATGGATAAAAGAAGCAACATCTGTTGGAGAATAGTGTACATATTTCCAGACTGTCTAATCTGACTGTCTTTTTTCATGGGGGGGAGGGTCTTACCTCCTCTGTGACCCCTGCAGAAGGAGAAATAGTTATGACTGGTTATACAAAATTGTCTGAATTGGAGCTGATCCTACATAAAGCAATCAGATTGGATATTTGGACATATGGAAGGTGATCTCTCCTAAATGGCATCAACTTCATTCATGTAGATTATTATGTGATTAACTGTCTTCTTTTCTGGGCAGGGGGCATGCTCATAAACCTGACAGTTTTAGAGATACTACTACTTTTATAAGACATCAGACCATTTTTACTTTAGTATGTAAGTAATTTGACAAGGCCCTTGGACAGCAATTGAATAATGGAAGACAGGATGGAGTTCACCTACATTCAGGCTGGATTTTTGAAGGAAGAGTTTTCTAATTACTGCTTTCTTGACAGGAGATGGCAATTTCAAGGATTCGTTTTCTCCAACAATGTTAGTAGTTATGCATACAGGAATTCTCTGGATTGTAGGCTTAGTGTTGAATAGCTGTTGAAAGTGAGCTGTGATAGTTGGTATGCCTTTCAAGAATTTTATTTTGTATGAATACTCTTCATCTACTGTTCTTCTTTCATTCATAAGTGATGGAAATTTTCAAGTACTTCAAATATTTTCCAGCAATCATAACAGTTTGCTGCTTTATGTATTTTGTGCAGGGATATTTGACTCTATAACTAATCTTTGTTGACATACTGGCTAAACACCACTTTAATATAAAAATAAGCATTTGTATTGAGCTGGAAGCTATGGATTGTATACATTGTAACTGAGAAAAGCATCAAAGCTTGCTATTTTTAGCATCGCTTTTTTAATTCTAAAAGTAGAATTGCATGCTTTGCTGTACAAAAACACTATGACTTCTTGCCCACTTTTTTATTCTGTCTTCAAGTTCTTATTACTAATGCAGGTCCATTTATATATTAAAAGAAGTTGGCTAAAAAAGAACATTAATATTTAATAGTCAAAGGACTGTTAATCTCAGATTAAGTATGCTTGCATGTATATCAGCTTCAGTAGGGGCCATATAATTGTGCACAGTAATTTTTAAAAAACCAGTGAGGTGGATTTTCTACAAAAGCAAATCAAATCAGTGTAGGGTTTTTGTGGGGGGCAGGGAATAATGCTCTAAATCAGTTGAGATCTGATTTGGCATTTTTAAAACTATATTTAGTAAACAAAACTAAGAAAGTGAACCATCTAATTAACATGCTGCTATACCATGTTAAATGCTGCTTAAATATATCTGTTTTTTCAGTAACCCATAATAGATGAGCAGTAAAACCAGATTAGCAGGAAAAAAAAATTAACAAACTTAAAGATGCAATCCTATGGGTTGTGACCCCATTAGATGGAATTCAAAGTCTTGCAAGTATCCTTTTGGACTACTGCCAGTGGGACGGGGGAATTATATAGGTAATTTATGCCTTTCCTTGTGTTTTTGTTTATCTACATGGGTCTGTGAGTCTGTCTAAAGGAAGCATGCTGTTGGGGCTGGGGCTGGAGCTGGAGAGGCCACAAAAAGCAATGTATTCTGGACTCTCCTCTCCCCATCAGCTGGAATGTTCTCCTTCTGACCTCTTCAAGATCCTTGAAGGCCACTTTTGTGACATTGAAAGGCAGCCTGAGCAGTACCTTCAGTAGCAGCTGTGAGGGAGAAAGCAGCAGGAGGGATCAGATAATGGTGTCTCCCTTCTGAGATCATAGCTGTGTCTATGGTCTTGGAGGAGGGATTCTTAAGAATCCTGTGGTTTCTGGGGTACGCTCTTTGGGCCATAGGATTGCTTTCTCCATTACAATCATGTGCACATGGCTGAGCTCATATATACATACATAGTTAATTTAGTTAAATTAAGAATATATATCCTTTGTTATATTCAAAGCTTTACCTGGAATACCTGAAAATATTTCAATTCAACTGCATATATTTTCATTACATTTGTTAAATTTTAAGAAAAATAATTAATGTGCTAAAAACTGTAATGTACAAGTTTTATCTTGCCCAAAGAGTTATGCATAGGATACGTGCTACTAAAGCATAGTCACATGAAAAAGATGCAAATTTAAAACTTGAGTTTAGAAATTGTCATTCATTCACTATACTATATTGCTAATTCAGCTTATAAAATAATGTGTTTTTGAAGTAGAAAATTTTCTGTCCTGCATTAATAAAATAATATTCTGTGGCAGTTGAAATTGCAAAGTCCTTCTAAACTCCTAAACTGACCTGGTTTGCCTGAGACAAAAAGCCATGGTGGGTTGTAGCACTTGTTTCTTTAGACTTGTTTGTTGTGATATCTGAACCCGCCACAGCTTCTTCTACTTGTTTTGGTAACCAGGCAGAGGCCATCCTGAGAACCCATGGTTTTAGTTGGCTTGTTTTAAGTTGTCTTATGTTGTATGAACCTGATACAATAACATGTAACTGACTTTTCCCAAGTGGCTACAGAACTGCCTAGCATGAGCAAGGAAAAACACAGCCACACCTTGTCATGTCATTACTGCCAACTCCCTCATTGGTGCTGGTCACCAGTGAAAGAATGAAAGTTCCATAACTTGTTCACAACCCTTATTTCATTGCTTTGGAAATATGCAAACAGGTTATCTTTTTTCCTACCATTAGCAAGTATGCAGATTCACCTGTACATTATTACTTTATTTTGCCTTATCAGTAGTACAGATCACTGTCCCTATATAAGTGTAGAAATCCCATTTGTTAATTTCATCCTGTCATTGTATTGTATCTTGAATTCACACTTGTCAGCTCCCCTCACAACACATACTTCGAAGCTTCCCTTGACCCCAAACTTGGAAAGCGACAGCTGAACAAGATGAAGCTATTGGGGTAGGTCAGTATAATTACTGCTGGAGTATGGGTATACTTACTGCAGGATATGGGATCACTTTTTAATTTTATTTTTATATTGTCCGCAACTACAAGTGTGTATTTACAATTCTAATTTTCTTAGAAGCATTTGTACAGAAAAATATTTTGGGGAAAGGCCAATTCAAAATTTTCTGGAAAACCCACACCAGTGCTTCTCCATTTAAGAAGGACCAAGTTCTTGTGTAGCTAAATAGTAAAGAAACCTACTCCTTTCAGTTCTGACCCACGTCTTTTCATGTAAATGTACAGCCAGCAGTAGCTAACATTACCACCTTGGTTTTTAAGGAGATTACTATTAGCAAATTAAACCTTTCCATACTTCTTCTTCTCTTCATCATGTAGTCACTCCCACTTGTCATGTCGCACAGATCCAGGAACTGCTCCCTAGTCACAGCTGCTGCTCATTTTATGATGTAATGTAAATAGTCAGGTGAAGACTGCTAAGTCTCTATCTTGAATTTCAAAATCATCCTGCCATTTAGTTTTTCATTGTTATCAGTATCAGTAAATATCTTTTTGGGCAGCATTTAGATTGAATTAAGAAAAAAGACAGTATAATATCTTAGAGAAAATAGTAATTTCAAGGAATTAATTTTGTTTTAGTAAAGAAATGCAGACTAGATACAATGTATCATACAAATGATTTCAGTATCTTTGTGATGTTAATTGTTGCTTTTCTTTGCAGCTAATCTTCCAGTACCAACTATTGCAGCAATAGATGGCATTGCATTAGGTGGTGGTCTAGAATTGGCTTTAGCATGTGACGTAAGAGTGGCAGGTAAGGGTTAGTCTTATTTTTACAATCACAGCACTCTAAATGATATAGAAATTTGTCTATTTCTTGTTTAGGAAAGTAGTTTTATTTTCAGGTAGTGTATTTCCTCTTTGTAATTTTGAATATATTCCTGAGGCATTTGTAGTTTTTCATTGGCAAGATACTTTTTGGTTAACATCTGCAATGGATACATCCATTTTGAACAAAGTGGTTTCTAACTTTTGTCAGTGTAGTACAGGTACTGGCATAAAAGCTGATGGACAAGGAGAAAGCCTAAGTTACTGAATAAAAAGGTTTTGGCAGTTGCTCACCATATTTGGCACAAGTTATGTTGCTAAAAAGCCACTGGCTGAATTCACAATGCTACAATCCATACTCAAGGTTGAGTGTAGGTTGTTGTTGAAACATGGGTTGTTGAGTCATATGAATCCACCCATGCTAAAAAGGTATGGTTTATTAACTACAGACAACCCATAAGGAGAACCCATATCTGCTTGTTGGTTTGTGAACTCTGAATTGTTCATGGTTAATAATCAGGCTTTGTTAGAGCAGTTGGGTTTATACAGCACAACAACCCACAGTTCAACAACAAATAATTCAGTGACCCACACATTCTCTTCAGTGTGGATTGTAATGCTTTGTGAACCCAGTCACTGAGTGTTTTTGGTATTGTCCAAGAACTCTTGAGAAGAGAAGAAATAAGGCAGATACTTAGCACCAACTTTGCTACCTGTCCCTGTTTCAGCAGTCAAGACTGGTCTTCTTTCCCAACAGAGTCATTCCACTTCAGTTTCTTGAGCTACTGATATCTTCTGTTACTTCAGCCCTTTGTAGTTGTATTTTAGGAACCTTATATATAAATTTAGTAACATTTTATTGGAAGAAAAAGAAAGAGTTTTTGATATAACTACATTAGATGTTCTGGGGTGAAGAGATCTTATGGAAAAATGTGTGATTTTAAAGAGCTGAATTTGAAAAGGAGGATAAAAGGGGAAAAGAAGCTTGAGTGGAAAGGAAATGTATACATTATTTGCTCATTCATTTTGCTCTTGCTGTTTTTCCTCAAATCTTTTATGTTAGGGGTTTATGCCCCATGCTTCTTACAGTCCTTTGAGAATGGTGGTCTCAGAAATAGTTGCTCAAGGCCACCTAGTCAGCTTTACAGGTAGGTGGCAATTTAAAGCTAGTTTGCTTTCAACATGCTATGCTGGCTCTCAAAATATCATCGTAGCACTCTTTTCTTTGAACAAATCTTGACTAGGATATAGAATAGTACATTTCTTATGTATTAACACTTCATTGGGGGTCAGACCTGTATTTGTTGTTGCCACCAATTCTGTTCTCATCCTTTTGATTCTATATGGGATTACCTTTGAAGTGTGTCTGGAAGCTACAATTGGTACAAAATGCAGCAGCTTATCTGCATACTGGTGCATGGTATTGTGGCCACATTTCTTCTGCCTTGAAAGATCTATGGTGGTTGCCAGTTGCTTTATGAACTTGATTCAAGGAGTTGTTTTCATCCTTCAAAGCTATAAATAGGCTAGGACCTGGTTATCTCAGGGACTGGTATTAAGGTCTGCAGGAAAGGTCCTTTTGAGTTCATTGTTACTTATACAAACTCCTTTGTCAAGCACACATTTGTCCTGCATTGCTCTCTGGGAGAAGCCAGGATTTATTTATTTTGTGCTGCAGTATGAATAAGATAAGAAAACACTGGAGGGTCTCTACTGTTTTTTACCCTCCTGAAACTGTTGTGGGAGTGCAAAGATGCCATCTCTTCCCAAGAGAACTTTGGCTAGTGGTGGTATAGAAATGTAATAAATGAATAGAGGCAGTAACACAGGGCTTGGGAGGTGAAGTCTTGCCTTTTTGTCTTTTCTTATGCAAATACATTTCAGTATACTGTCTCTCTTTTGTACCCTTTGATTCCTAGAGGGAGCTGAAAATAGTTTTCTAACTTTGCAGAAGGACAAAATAAGCTGAAGACATGCTTGCTTTTGCTTTCCTTTTCCAAAACTGCTTCAGATCAGAAAATCATTGTATTTGGTGGGGTCTTACAGAAAGCTTTGGAAAGAGAGTGAAGTAGCAGGCATTTTCTAAACCTTTGTGCAAAATCATACCTCTTCCTCAAGCTCTGTAGTAAGCATAGAATGCTGTAGGGAATCACATTTTGAATCATATTCTGAATCACATTTTGTCTCACTTTTTCAAAGGTTTGGATAAGAAACCAAGCAGTGGGAGAAATCCCTGCTATTTCTGATTTTATCTAAGTGGCTGCAGCACTTCAGACTGTGTCATAGGCAGCCATGAGTCCCCCTCATCAGAGGTCAAGGCGCACTTGCCTCTAGAAAGCAAACAAGATTGTTGATGTCTATACTTGGCTTGCTTATCAAGCAGCTGTACACAGTAGGTGGCCATATATACGTTAATGTCCTCCACACATACACTTTTCAGTGTATTGCAAGGGCACTGAAGCCTCCAAAATGTGATGCCTTGTCCTTTGGGCAGTGGAAGATCTGCTGCCTACTGCATGCTATATAAGCTGTGCCATTCTATTTAAGCTTGTTCTGACAAACTGAGCTACTTAAGGCATCAGGACATAGCTTCTCTTCCTTTTCTTTATCAAATGGTTGTTCCTCTGCCCCTGGATCAAAAGTGAAGTGCTTCTCCATCTTGCAGAAATGATCGCACAATAAATTAGTTAGGATTCATTTTCCTGGCTTCCTTCACACTGTATATCTAGAAGATGTAATTTTGTACATACGTACTAGTTACTCTGGCCACCTAATGAGAAGGAAGGACTCCCTGGAGAAGAGCCTAATGCTGGGAACAATAGATGGCAAAAGAAGAAGAGGACGGCAGAGAATGAGGTGGCTAGATGGAGTCACTGAAGCAGTTGGTGTGAGCTTAAGTGGACTCCAGGGGATGGTGGAGGACAGGAAGGCCTGGAGGAATGTTGTCCATGGGGTTGCGATGGGTCGGACACGACTTCGCAGCTAAACAACAACAACTAGTTCAATAGGAAATAGGATTGCTGGGAGTACTATGTCAATCAGACTTGCATTTCCAGTATATGTATAAACAACTGTACAGCTGTATTCAATTACAGAAAAAAGTAGGCCCTCTTAATGAAATGTAGAAGGCCCATACCTAACTACAGCAATTTTAGTCAAATTATGGTCCTTTGTAACCTTCTAAAAATAGTGGGTAAAAGGGCCCTTTGGTCCTTCTCCTATAATTTAAGCAACTGGGAGTTGTTTCTGAGTAGATATGCTTAACATTTCACTTTTAGGGCATAATCTAGTACCTTCACACAACCTCGATGCACACAAACCTCCAAACTCAGAGACTTATGGGCATCGAATACATCCCTTGCCCTATGTATTTGGTCTAAATTCTCCTGGACCTCTCAGTGGCTTTCAGTACCATCAACCATGGTATACTGCTGGATAGGATGGCCAGGTTGGGAGTTGGTGGCACTGCTTTGTGGTGGTTCCATTCCTACCTGTCTGGCTAATTCCAGAAGGTGGTGCTGGGGGATTATGGCTCTGCGCTATGGTGACTTTTCTGTGGAGTTCCTCAGGGTTCCATTTTATCCCACATGCTTTTAAACATCTACATGAAACCTCTGGGAGAGTTCATCTGGAGGTTTTGGCAGTGGAGTCATCAGTATGCTGATGACACCCAACTATACCTCTCTTTTACATCTAGTCCAAGTGAGGCAGTGACTGTCCTTAACCAGTGCCTGGCCAAGGTAATGGGTTGGATGAGGGCCAGTAAATTGATGCTTAATCCAGACAAGACAGAGGTCCTGTTGGTAGGCAGTTCAGCCTTCCAGGTAAGTGATTTTAGCCTTTGCCTGGGCGGGGTTGCACTCCCGCTAAAGGATAGGGTTTGCAGTTTGGGAGTGCTCTTTGGCCCAGAGCTGTCACTGGAATCCCAGGTGGCAGTGGTGGCAAGGAGCTCTTTCCTTCAGCTTCAGCTGATTCACCAACTGTGTCCTTACCTGAATGAGCATTGCCTTGCAATGATGACCCACACTCTGGTAACTTCCCAGTTGGATTATTGTAATGTGCTTTATGTGAGGCTTCCCTTGAAGACAGTCCAGATACTTCCATTGGCTCAGAATAGAGCTGCCAGGATGTTAATGGGAACTGGCAGGTTTTCACATATAGCGCTGGTCCTTTATTGGTTGCACTGGCTGCCAATTCAAGTCCAGGCCCAATTTAAGATGCTGGTTATGACCTATAAAGCCCTAAATAGCTTGGGTCTGGCATACCTGAAGGAATGCCTTCTTCCCTATGTGTCTCCCTGCCCCTTGGGTTCTGAGGAGGAGGTCCTGCTCTGGGAGCCCTCCTTGAAGGAGATTAGGAGGGTGAGTACCCAGAGGATGGCCTTCTCTGCGGTGGTGCCCAATTATGGAATGCACTGTCCAGAGAGGTTTGCCTGGTGCTGATGTTATATTCTTTCCGGCGTCAAGCAAAAATATTTTTATTTTCCCGTTATTTTAATATTTAATTGATTTTAACTGGGGTTTAGTTTATCAGTTGTTGGATGCTGTGGTGTTTGTTTTATTCTACTCATTTTTCATAAACCGTCCCAAGACGCTTGTAGTGGATGGGTTAGAAAAGCTTTAAATAAATAAATAAATAAATTGCTGCTTCAGCCATCTACTGTGGAGGGAAGCATGCTGTGGCACCAAAAAGAATCAGTGTAAGTCTCTTCCCCTGCCCACCCCTGGCATGCCCTTTTTGTTTTCTCCGAGGCCAGTTGTGACCTGGGGAGGGAGCTGTCATACTTCTTTCTGTACCAGTTCTGAGGAGGGTGGGCCAAGCATTGCAGGCTTTGACTTCTGAGTCTCAGCTCTGAGGTCCTAGGACCTCAGAAGTCCTAGGGCCTTGGAGCTGGGGCTTCAAAAAATCTTAAGAACCCCAGGCAAATTGAATGGATGACTCACCTGAAAAATTTCCTGAACTTTTCAAAATATTTTAGATGCTAACAGTGGTTGAGAGGGCCAAACAAAAAGATCTTTCTGCAGTAGAATGTTGCTAAGCCAAGGTATTCTGGCATAACATTTTAGATTAAACATAAGTTTGAGCCCTGTATCTGGAAATGTATGTATTGGATTTACATAAGCTTGCAATTGGCAATGTAAATCACCTCTCTTTTCTGCCAACACATCTAAAGACTATGGTTCCTAATTCCCCCAGCTCAATTTTTCCCATGCTAACAAAATTCTTTTCTGAAAATTCTTACTTGTTTTTAATCACAAATGATTATAATGATTATTTTATATATAACATCCTTTTTGTATTGGACAAATGCATGCATAAAGTCATCTGGTGAGCCCATACATACGTATTCTGCTCTTCCTGCAAATCCTAACTGCTTGCTTTGTATAGGAATGGTACCATAAATGTGTTAAATTTCATAATATACACATTGTTTTCCTGTATCATTGGTAGTCCTTCTCTTAAAACTGGAGGGCAATGTTACTGGTTGGTAGAATGCATTTGTATTTTGTTTTTGGATTTGCTTCCATAGATAAATGCGCATTTTAAAAAAAAATCTTAACTATTCTCAATGTATTGGTAGATTACATGTTCCTGTAAACTACATTAGTAAACTACATTGGTAAACTACATGTTCCTGTTTATCTTGTTATAGTAACCTATAGATTTCAGAAGAACTAACTTTTCTTTTTATTTTTTAGCCACTTCTGCAAAAATGGGTCTAGTTGAAACAAAGTTAGCAATCATTCCTGGTGCAGGTATGGCATTTTCTCTTAGTAATATAATAGCTTCTATTGGTGTTTCTGGTTTTTATTGCTGATGTATCACATCTCTCTGCTCAGGTACCCTTGTCCATCAGTCAGTCAGCTATGAGGGTCTGTACTGGAGGCTGGATAACAAAGACATGATTGAAATTCTATTTTACCACTCTCCCTGCTGCCTAACATTTTCCTTTTCAGGGCTGATCTTTTCAGAGGTGGTACTAAAAGTGTTGCTCCTGGGGAGACATTAACATTAATTCTAGGACTGCCTTTTCTGGTGCAATTTGAAAGTTCATGGCATCCATGAGTCTGTTTCACATTATTTCTGAATTAATGGATTTGGAGGGCATACTTTGTTTTCTGATTGGTGGTAGGTGTAAACGATCTGTGGGTTACAGGAACCAGTGATGACTAGGGCTATGATTGCCTGATTTGCTTTGATCTTATGATCACTTGTTGTCCCTATTGGGATGGTCTGGCCCAGACATTGATGGAGATGTGTGTTCTGATGTCTGTGGGAGTATTTATTTTAGATTTAACAGGTGATTCAGATATATTCCTGGTCTGTCTTTGGGATAGGCAGATGACCCACGTTCTCAGTATCATTGCTGCTTGAATGTCCTTGATCCCACCATAAAGGCAAATCAGAGCCCTGGTACTCTGGAGAGCTACAAACAATGAAATATCTAGACCAGTGACTGCAGGACAGTTAGTGAAAGCCTTTTGATGAGTCTGAGTGAACACAGATGAGAAACCATTGTAGTGGTTTACTCTTTGACAGAAATACCAGAAAAGAAGTCTTGTTTTTCTGCTCACAGTGTGTCTGCAGACTGCCAACCATTGGAATTTCTGCAAGTTGTATGGGATTTTTTGCATATAGGCTCTGGGGCTGACTGAGAATTTCTAAAGGGCTACTGTGCCCGGTCTGTGTTGCATGTTACAGTTAAAATCACTTCTAACCCAGTTAGAAGCCATAGATTTGGCAAAGTTGGATGCAACTGGTATACTGCTTAAGTTGTTATGAATGTGAGGCTGTGGACAAGCAGCTTGGATGTTTGAAAGCTATCACTTACACTCTAGACCTTTGCCTTTCCTAGCTATTAAAAGCTGCCAGAGTCAGGCTTACTGTCTGGGACTCAAAAGAAGGGATGTGTGAGCAGTTTGCTTGGGAGTGGAAATCTGTCAGATTCCCTGGGAACAGCTCCCCAGACTCTGGTCTGCTCTGCAGCTTAATAAACAATGGTCAGGGAGCACCTAATTCATTTGAATGAGTTCAGATCTTCAGGGCCTGATGAACTGCATCCTAGAAAATAAACAAACTGGCAGACCTCTCGGAACCACTGTCTATTATCTTTGAGAAATCAAGGGAGATGGGTGAAGTTCCAGGTGACTGGAGGAAAGCTAACATTTCCCTGTCTTCAAAAACTGCAGAATGGAGGATCCTTGGAACTGCAGACCAGTGAATCTGATGTTAGTTCCAGGGAAAATTCTGAAAGAGATCATAAAGAAGTCATTCCGTGAACACCTTAAAGACAATTCAATAATCACTAGAAACCAGGATAGATTTATCAAGAACAAATCTTGCCAGACCAATTTAATCTCATTTTTTGATTGGTTTCCTCCCTTGTGGACTGTGGGAATGCTGCGGATATAATAAATCTTGACTTCAGTAAAGCTTTTGACAAAGTACTCTGTGACATTCTGATCAACAAACAAGGTAAAAGTGGGGTAGATGGAACAACTATTAGGTAAGTCCAAAGGTGCCTACAGAATCAAAGAGTGCTTCTCAGTGGCACCTTCTCAAACTGGAGAGAGCTAATGAGTGGAGTGCCACAGAGTTCAGTCCTGGTCCCAGTTCTCTTCCAACATTTTTATTAATGATTTGGACAAGGAGGTACAGGGATTTAATATTTAAAGATGACACAAACTTGGATGGGGCAGCTAATACTCTGTAAACCAGAATATTTTCTCAGTCATGCCAGAGTGTAGGACATGGAATAATGTGCTGAAGGTACAGGAACCCAGGTTCCAGCTGGATATCAGGAAAACCTTCCTGACTGTTAGAGAAGTGAAGCAATAGAACCAATTACCTAGGGAAGTTTTGGGATTTCCCACATTGGAGATAGTCAAGAGGCAGCTGGATGACCATCTTTCAGGGATGCTTGCATTCCTGCTGAGCAGGGAGTTGGAACTGTTGGCCTAATAGGCCCTTTCAACTCTAGTGTCTTATGATCCTATGATAGTTGTGTGACCTCTGCTAGATAATAATTTGACTCTTATGGCTCTGGATAATATTGTGCTGTGTCAAATTTCTATTTCTAAACAAAGTCGTGGAGAGATGTGGCATTTCAAGGCCAGGGAATCATAGATGGTTCTGATTATTGGATTGATTATATTCTGTCATTTGGTTAGATTATGGGTTGGCAATAAACTTAGTTGCTATGGTGAATGACTTGTGGTGGAAAGTTGATTGGTGGGCAGGTGAATGCAGTTAGTTCTCCTGGAATTCATAGAGAGTTTGGGTACCATTTGACCATAATATCCTTCTGGACCATATGGCTGGATTGGGAGGTCCTTTCTAGTGGGATGTTCTGAAGGGCTTCTGTTTCACTTCATTAACTTTGAGTGTGATGTGATTCCATCTTTTCAACTGTGCAGTTTAACATGTAGATGAATCCACTGTGCAGAGTCATCCCAAAGGTGATGGGATGGCCCTATTTGAGGCCCCGTTGGTGAGGGTGTTCAAAGATAGGCTAGACATGCACATGGTGGGCATGTTGTGAGCGGAGCTGGCTGGAGCCAGGGGTCAGACTAGATGGCCTGGGAGACCCCTTCCGACTCGCTCTGTTTCTGTGTTTCTGTGTTTCAAAGGTTGGGCCAAAGCAGAGATAGGCAGCTCTGGGGGACTTGAGGGCAATTGTTGTCTCTTGTGGGTTCAGTCTTAAGGGTTCCCACAAAAAAACCAGTGGTTACCATCCAAATTTGGAGGCTTTGAATGTGTGAAGGGAGCAAGCCTAGCTCACGGCAGCACCTAGGATTCTGGGGGTGAATATCCAAATTGCCCTAGTCCCCACAATTGTTTGAGGGTTGAAGAAAGGGGTGAGCAGGTTTATACTTTTGCCTTTGAACTCATGCAAGGGGTGCCTGAGAGGATATAAGATGGTTGTACAGAAGAAGCATGAACCTTGTTTGCAACCTTTGGTGGCCATTTTAAATATTTGCATCATGCCAGGGGTGTGTGCTTTAGCTTGTTGTTAAATACAGACCAGAAAAGCATAGATTGTTGGGTGATTAACAAGTCATTGTCATTTGCAAACTTAAAGCAGTCCATGAGTCCTGGGTAGTCTTTTAACCAACCTTACATTCTGCCTTTGCCAGGTTCACCTGTCATGGTGGTTCACATTATGGCAGTTCTGGTATTCTAAATGACAGTTGCTGTTGCATTAAGAAGCTCCAGAGGTAAATTCACTCACAGTGGCTTCTTATTACAGTAGTTAGCCCCCCAAAATTCATGCTGGTTGCGTTCCCAGAGCACCCGTGAATTGTGAAAAACTGCAGATTTGGTGTCGGCGATGGGCAGCAGCTGTCATGGTGGTGTGGGCAGGGGGCGTGGGCTGGGCCAGGGGGGGCAGGCACGCATGCATGACAGGGCAGGGGCTGGCGCATGCAGAGATTGTTTTCTCTGAGTGAGTCCAAACCGATCTCCTTTGCTCACAAGGAGATCGGTTTGGACTCGCTCAGAGAAAACAATCTCCTTGCGAGCAAGCCGTAGCACAGAAAATTCTGCGAAAGACTGAGGCTGCGAACGCTGAACCACAACATCACGGGGGTATACTGTATATGCAAACGAAGTCCTCATTTACTTGGAGAACCCACACCCTTTGACTGAGGGGAGGGAATTACATTTTGTCTTCCCTCAATGTGCTTCAGCTTGGCCTCCCTGAAGGTTTCTTGTAGTTCCCTCTTTTTCATTCTTATATGGAATGAAATAGTTTTCTGACATACTTAATCATTCAAGTTGCTGATGAATACTTAGATTTTTTAATGGATGGTGGTGGTGGCGGTGGTAAGTCTATAAGTAGGTATGGCCTTTTTTTGCTGATTATAAGTCACTCTTGGGAGACTTTTGTGTCTGTGGAGTGAGATAAATATATTTCAAATAAATGGGTGTTTTAATTTATTGAAATTGGGACTGTGAACATGTTAACATGGATAGCAGCAACATATCTAGTGTTGTTGTGGTTGTGTTGTACTAAGTCTTACTTAAGGTGAACAAGGGAATGGAGGGAGCTAAAACAAAGGGAAGGAGTATGTGTTCCTGTGGATGGCTTCTTAATTGCAAGTCAGGGTTCGCTGGGAGTGGGCATTATATTTCTGCTGAACTTTAATAGTGAGCAGAGTGAAGTTGTGAATGTATTTTCTTCAACAAACCTTTCAAAATCTTTTGTTTGTTGGATGTTTTCAACAAGCAATTGGAACTGCTGAAAAGTATATAAACAATTTCCTTACTGTTTGCCCCACTACTATGAAAGTTTGTGCTGTTCACCTTTATAAATAAATTTGATGAAGGGTTTAAGATCTTAATTTTTCATTTTCAAATAACAGAAATCTATATTATCAGTTTAGGATTTACATGCAAATATGCAATGTTGAAATAACTAGTATACAGGGCTCTGGCTCCAGAATCAATTTCCCACTTAAAATTAATATGAAGGCTTAATTTTGCTACCAGATTATTTCTCAACATTTCCAGTTATGTTGAAAACATGGTTTTATTTGCATTTTATAATTTTGATAATGTTTGCTTTATGTTTATTTTTTAAATAAATAGCCTCAGGAGAAATTGTTAATAGTGTTGAACCCAGATGTTTGAACAGCCACTCTTGTTTCCAAGTAATTAAACAAAATATGTAGAGTGTTAATGGAAATAGGTGGATTAGTTCTGCTTCTGTAAATTAGGGTGAATTGTGGTTTATACATGATTCCTGTTTTTTTTC